TATCTATTTTTTTAACAGAAAACTAACACAAAAAAAACTGTTTAGAAGTGTTACACATATACTTAGTGCTACTAACAATGTGATTTTAAGAATAAATGATGTTAGCGTTCAGTTTGAAGCCGCACTGAGTAAAAAGCATAGCAACAGACTGTCTGTGTATTTGTCAAAAGCTTTTAGAAAAGAGTACCGGGCGACAACACAAGAAGAAGTACACATTGGTTATACGGTAAGTACACATTGGTTATACGGTAAGTACACATTGGTTATACAGGAAGTGCACATTGGTTATACGGTAAGTACACATGGGTTGTACGGTAAGTACACATTGGTTATACAGGAAGTACACATTGGTTATACAGGAAGTACACATTGGTTATACAGGAAGTACATATGGGTTATACGGTAAGTACACATTGGTTATACAGGAAGTGCACATTGGTTATACGGTAAGTATACATTGGTTATACGGTAAGTACACATTGGTTATACAGGAAGTACACATTGGTTATACAGGAAGTACACATTGGTTATACAGGAAGTACACATGGGTTATACGGTAAGTACACATTGGTTATACAGGAAGTACACATTGGTTATACAGGAAGTACACATTGGTTATACAGTAAGTACACATTGGTTATAGAGGAAGTACACATGGGTTATACGGTAAGTACACATTGGTTACAGAGGAAGTACACATTGGTTATACAGGAAGTACACATTGGTTATACAGGAAGTACACATTGGTTATACGGTAAGTACACATTGGTTATACAGGAAGTACACATTGGTTATACGGTAAGTACACATTGGTTATACAGGAAGTACACATTGGTTATACAGGAAATGCACATTGGTTATACGGTAAGTACACATTGGTTATACAGGAAGTGCACATTGGTTATACGGTAAGTACACATTGGTTATACAGGAAGTGCACATTGGTTATACGGTAAGTACACATTGGTTATACAGGAAGTACACATTGGTTATACAGGAAGTACACATTGGTTATACGGTAAGTACACATTGGTTATACAGGAAGTGCACATTGGTTATACAGGAAGTACACATTGGTTATACGGTAAGTACACATTGGTTATAGAGGAAGTACTTTACCTTTAGAAGGTTAAATTTTCAGCTGGATTGTTTTTTATGGAATTTGTTGACAATAACATAAAATATGGTCTATAAGCAGCCTTACCTCCAGAGGTGTCACTCAAAACAACAATTTAAGCATTTAAACAATTAAAAAGTAAAGTGTATGACTTGACAGCAATCTGCAAGATGTGGCCCGAGCTTGGATGTTTCCTGTGCTAGGAAGAAATGATGATCAATATCGCCTCTAATTAATCATTTTTTCCCAGCGGCACAGTAGAAGGCAGACTCCGTTCAATAATGTGTCTTTCAAAAAGCAGCTCTAATCAAGCCCGAAGGTCTCCCTCTAAATCTTTTTGCATTTTGAGCCTCATTTCCATTTCCCGTCCCTCAAGGCAAGGTAAAACAGTCCCAAGGTATACGAGCAAAGGCTTCGTACTTTGCGCCGCATGACTGACCTTCACCTGCAGCCCAGTCGATTGATATGGAAATGACAGGAAGTCAAGTTCCTCTGACTGAAGCGAAATAATTGAGCACACACACAAACAAAAACAAAAAAAGAGCAGAGAGGTAAACAGGAAAAAAATACAAGAGTGACAGTGATGACTGCAGCAAATGTAGTCTCCTGGCCGATCTAATTGTCAGCTTCATTTGCACTTCTCAAACACAAGGTTACACCTGTCATCAAAACGGGAGGCATGAAAGGAAAAGAGAAAGCCTGCAAAAAAGCAACTCAAACTTTTGTTACATCGAGTCAAGATAATCGTCAGAGACGTGAACAGTTCAACGTTTAAATGACCCAAGATTCACATAGTGTACCCATGATGACTTATTTATACATGTACCTGTTAAGAGCGTGCACCTTATTAAAAATTAACTTTTAAGACTTTAGAGAGTGAATCAATAAAAAAACAATTACACCATTTGGAGCAGGTACCCGTTGACAGTATGAACATGTTTTGCATTCACCCGTTATGGTTTTAGTCTTCGTCGTAGTCGCCGTTGGTTTGAATCTGACCTCGGCCTTTTGCTGCATGTCGTCCCCCACTCTCTCCTCCCCACATTTAAAGACTAAAGACTAAAGACTCCTCCCACCCTGCCCACAGACTGTTTACCCTCCTGCCCTCCGGCAGGCGCTTCAGAAGCCTCCGGACCAGAACCAGCAGACTGAGGAACAGCTTTTTCCCCAGAGCTGTTTCTCTACTGAACTCTACCCCCCGAACTCTGAACTCTGTCTCTCTCTCTCTCTCTCTCTCTCTCATCCCCCCACCACCCCTCCTGGTCACACACACACATCTCTCATCCATCTGTATTATTGTATTATAGTATGTTCATATTATGTCCATATTCTTTATATTATCTGTAAACTAGTATAGCATGCTCACTGCATCTTAATCTGTATATTATAATCCTAAGAATACACTTATATTTATAGCATTTATTTATATTTATAGTTAATTAATGTGAATCCCATTAATCCATCCAGATTAATGGGATTCACATTAATTAGCCATCCAGATATACCTAATAATTCACTTTTTTTTAGTCTACATCTGTACATTTTGTAATTACTGTACATAGCACAGACTCTTGCACTTTCTGCTTATTTGCACTTCTGGTGAGATGCCAAACCTCATTTCGTTACTCTATACTTGTATATGTGTAATGACAATAAAGTTGAATCTCATCTCATCTCATCTCATCTCATCTCATCTCATTTAAAGTCTCTCTTCAGCTGTCCTATCTAATAAAAGCAAAGAAATGCATTTGTGTACCTGTTAAGAGCGTCTTCTTGTCCAGATTGTTTACTCGTTTACAGCATGTACCGTCTACAATGCTTAATGCCTAATGCCTGTTCCTGTTTTAAGTGTGTACTGGATTATAAAATAACTAATTTAAGCGCCATTATGAGTGTACACCAGTATACCAGTCAAACTGAAAATATGAATGTTTCTGAAGATGTACAAAGGACAGAAATCCTTAGAGATTTCTTCCTTTGACTTTATATTTAAAATGATTCAAACTGCATCTTAAGCTTTCATCACAACATGCCTCTGCTCATGTGGGAACCCTTTGGTAGTGAGCCTAACACATGTGGCCCAAAGCATAGTTTAATTAGGACTGAGTTTGATGATTTGTACAAAGAGGGAAACAGAAAGGCCTCTAAAACCGGAGAGAATCAAGATAAAACATTGGGGGGGGAGAGGAGGAAAGAGGAAGTGTTTGAGTCGTTTTACAAACAGAGAACAGTAATTAAAGCACTTCGGAGGACGTATCCCATTGCACTCTGGCTTTTGAGTGTGAAATGGTCTTACTTCCACAACAATGTATTACTCTTTCTCTCTATTGTGCCGTTCACAGGGCAGAGCTGTCAAACGGGGGGGAAATTACAGGGTTGCTGCAGCCTCCATCTCTGCACTAAATGAGAATGTGGAACACCAGCAGCGAGACTCGGCAGTGTGCCAATCAATAGCTGCGACTACGCCAATTATCATCACCATCCACAGGAATGACACGTTGTTTTGGGCTTTCGCAGAAGGTCAGCGGAAATTGGTGGCGCATGACGTTTCCATGGGTACCAGGAGTGTATAATCTCTGCTCCACCCTGGGATCACGCATTTACACTTCTTTTATTTGTTTACTTGTTCATTGGCATCGTCAGTGTGGAGTCGATGCTTGCTAAAGTGGGGAAAGATTAGGTGGTGCGTTCAGCGGCGTGTGAGAAACGTTCCCGTTGTTGGGCGGATTCTGAGATGAAGTGGCTCGGTGCAACATTCATTGAGGGCTCAAAGAGGAACAATCTGCATCTATATGTACACTGAGCCTCTAAATCTATATATATATATATTTATATGTTATTTATTTGATTATCTTCCACTGAGAAGCCAAGTTATTTTGGACCTACAACTTTATGCACTTGTTTCATCTGCTGTAAAACAAATATATTTGTGTGGGTTTCTCTGCAGTATATAACTTAACCTTTAGTCTTTTCATTTATTATATTTTTATGCATTACTTGATGGGTTTTTTTTTTTTGGGCGGCAATAGCTCAGTCTGTAGGGCCTTGGGTTGGGAAAGGTCAAGTCCTGGCATGGACCGAGCCTGGAAGTTGGTCTGGTAGCTGGAGAGGTGCCAGGTCACATCCTGAGCCCTGCTGATGTGCCCCTGAGCAAGGCACTGATCCCCCACCAGCTGAGGAGCACTCATTGTGGGCCCCTCAGTGCATGTCCATAGGATCCTGTTTGTGCATTTCAGCATATGTGTGTGTAGCATGTTCAACAACAGAGTGTAAAATTGAATTTCCCCTCTTGGGATTATTGCTCTTCTTCTTTTCATGGTTGTCCTGTCTTGTGTTACGCTTGTAAAATCCACAGAGCTGTAAGTGTTTTCCGTCCGCACTTTTGCCCAAACCTCATATAATAATAGCCAAACAGATGAACATCTCTATAAAACATTTAAGGGACAAATGTGTCATTATCAATATTATAATAAATGTATTTTTAGATGTTAATAATCACGGCATATCAAAGTCTATGTGTTGCTTTTCTATGTCAAACCTCAAACACACACCAAAAGACACAAAGAGTGTAATGAATTAAAACAATTTTTATTGTTACTATTAGGCCTACTGTTGATTATTGTTAAGACAGATCCTATTAAAAAAAAATAGTTTACAAAAAAGACATTGAATAACAAGATTGATTTCAAGAAATGTGTTAAGAAGTTTTATGTCTATTGTTTTATATTCGTGATCGTAGTGTACAGGGATTTTTTTGCAACAATGGGGTCCCTGCCAGAGGTGTATTGTACATGAGGCCTTTGCATAGCAAAATTTGGGAAACCCTGTTTTCTGAAAAAAAAAAAAAAAAGTCGTGAGCTGTAGTAAGCCTCCCGAAGCAGCAGGTGGCAGTAGAGCGCTGACTAACACTACCATCCCCGTTGCAAATATAACGACGAAGAAGATTGAATAACAACAGTGCTGCTCTTTCTGAGGTACGTCAATGTTTAAACGCATATGTGCATCTCCACTATTGACTAAATACATTTAATGCCTATTTTAATTGTTTAAAATACGGTTTTTACGACACTAAGTGCTCTCGAACAGTCGTTAGCTTTAGCGCTTCAGCTAAGCTAGCATGGCTGTGCAGCTAGCTAAGCTGTCGTTTGAGTGAGGGGGTGTGTAGACCCTGCAAAGCATCTTTTATGTCTTTAACGCTGCGAGAGGGCGATCCGCGGCCGTCCGTTTTCATTTCCTACTGCCTCGTCCGTCTCCCGTGCCGTTTAATGCCTCATTTTCTGTGAAGGTAATTTTCTCTCTGACCCAGATCTATCGCAGCGCAGCCATCAAACGCTGTGAAAAATGGACACAAGAGCCTTGAAGAACCCATATCAGGACTATGATGGGAACCCGGCGTCCACACAGGCTCTGTTCGACAGTCAGGGGAAGGTAAGGCACAAAGAATGAGCCAAGGTGTCGTGTGAGTCGTGTAACCTTCATAATGTTGATTTTTGTGTGTGTGTGTGTGTTTTTCTGCACCTTCAGCTTACTGCAGAGTTTGCTCAGCGGCTGAGCAGTAAGGTCAGCGAGCTGCTGGCTTTCATGGAAAATGGGCTGAAGTCTGCTGACCCGAGAGACTGCACCAGTTACACCGGCTGGGCAGGTGATGACACCCCCTGCACATGTGATATGAGTGACCCCCTTATGTGTCTTATGGCAACCTCTCTCATATATAAATGTGACACTCCCCCCCCCCCCCCCCCTTCCCTCTTTTATGTGATGTTATTATTTCTGGGCGATATGGAAGCAGAATCATCTCTCCATATTTGTTGGCGCACACACGATATATGTTGATTCCTTTTGTCGAATCACAAAGTCAGTTCAAAGTCAAATCCACGTAAATCACAACAACCCGTCTGTGAAATCAAAAATAGTGACGTTAAATCAAATGATGCCTTAAGTCAAAGCAAACGGGCGTTGATGTAAGGTAATACATTGACGGGGAGAGAGGTGGATCAGGGTGAGAGGGAGCGCGTCGTAGTACGACTCAGATTTAAGTGTAAAACCGCCAGAGTCCTGATTGGGCTGGCCCGCACGTCCACTAAATGATTACATCAAACAGAGTCAGTGGACTAGAGCCGCTGTCAGAGGTGACTGTGACGGCGCCCCCCTCAGACGCTCCACAGTTGGGTTAAAAAAAAAATGTTTAGTAGTTCAAAGGGCGCACGTTATGGAACCGATTACCTCGCTCAGTTAGGGGATGATCCGGCAACTTTCAAGAGTCGTCTGAAGCTGTGGCTCAGAACAAACCAGATCTGTGACCATGTCTGAAAATCTCTTTTTATTTATGCCCACATACAAACATCCATGTGTCGAACCCCAGCGCAATACTGCGTACACAAACACACACAAACACACACACACGGCTATGTGTCAAACCCTGTGCATACACATCACATCAGCCCTGTAAAGTTACAGGCAACAGGGCAAATGTGCAATTTAAATCAATACCTCCTGATCATTTAATACTGCAGTTAAACACTTGAACTCTGAAGGTCACTTCATCCTGGTTTTGTTTTCGAACAACATGCACGGCCACTTTTTATGCTTGTACCGTAACACAAATAAAAGCTCGTCCCCAAGTTAAGGCCCACAGTCTTCCAAAAAAAAAAAAAAAAAAAGAAGAAAGGAAGGAAGTGATTTTGAACTTAATACGTTTAATCGATATCCTAACTTCATGCACAGTTAAATATTCTATCTGGTTATTTCAAAGTCTTTCCCCTCTTTAATGTGCACATGCTTTGTTAGAAAATAATTAGAGGCCCGTCTTGAAATGACTCCTGTCCCAAATGAAGGCAGGCTCATTTCATACACTGAAGTCAATAAAAGCCGGGGCTATTATTGAAGTTTTACGGTATACACGTTTCTCTGTCCGCTAACGTGGAGTGGATGTTGTGTGGTCGTTACTTGTTGTTTGGTTTGCGCTTGTCGTCGTGGCTTGATGTAAATGTGTAATGTGTGATCCACTGACCTGCAGAGGGACGAGAGAGTGAAATGAGCCTCTGGCTACAATCTGACATACTTGCATGTTCGCTCATGAGCACTGTCCCTGTTTATAAATTAATAAGAGGCACAGACATTAGCCTGATTCAGACTGCTCTTCCAAGCTGCGATATTTACCCCCCCCTTTTTGACATTTGGCCTTTAATCTGAATGTGTATTTCAAGTCACCAACAAATTCAGAAAAGAAATCTAATTTAAGATGCTTGAACACCATCATTTTGGCATTGTTTCATGAAAAACAATTGTAGGATGTCCCATTCAGTGGATATGCGTTTGTGCGCGCCTCCTTAAACTCTGCAGGTTCTAAAATGTGCGCCCGTGTTTAGTGAGGTAAGAGGTAGTTTGCGGCCAGTTGTCTGTGATATAAATATTTCTGTCCTTCCACAGGCATCGCTCTGCTCTACCTGCACCTCCACAACGTGTTTGGGGAGCCCTCCTTTCTCGTGAAAGCTCTAGAATACGTCAACCACAGTCTGAAGTGTTTGACCCGGCGTCATGACATCACCTTCTTGTGCGGGGACACGGGGCCTCTGGCTGTGGCTGCTGTGGTCTACTATCGCCTGCAGAGGCCGCACGAGTGTGAAGAGTGCATCAACAGGTCAGTTTGGGGTCTTTCGATCTCTCGGTTACTGGACTTTGTTGTTGTATACTCTCTCCTGCATCGTCTCTCTGCTCTCCCAGACTGCTGCAGTTTCACCAGACCGTAGTGAAAGGAGCGGGCGGGCTTCCCGACGAGCTGCTCTACGGGAGGATGGGTTACCTTTACTCCCTCGTCTTTGTCAACCAGCAGCTGGGACAGGACAGGATCCCGCTGCAGTACATCCAGCAGGTGGGTCAGAAACTGAAGATCCTAAAGGGTACATAACGGTCGAGGAAATTGGATAAATGATGAAATGCATAAGCGTGCAGGAAACTCTTTGATCACCTCTCCTTATAGTCATGATTGCCCGCTCTTCAGCTTATCGCACTAATTTCTCTGTATCGATTCCTTTCAGCGTTACAGATTGGTTGTGTTTGTGAGGCCAGATGTGTTTTTTTTTTTAATCCTCAGATCAGCGAGGCCGTGCTGGCGTCCGGTGAGAACCTGAGCAGGAAGTTCAGGGTCCAGAACGAGAGCCCGCTGATGTACGAGTGGTACCAGGAGCAGTACGTCGGCGCCGCACACGGACTGGCTGGAATATATTACTATCTCATGCAGGTAAGTAAACAGCCTCTGGGTCAGAATGAAGCTGAAAAGTCTTCAGATGGAGATACAGAAAGAGTCTCATGACTAGAGTACATAAAAACGTCTTACATCACTCTTTATGATCCCTCCCTCTTCACAGCCTGGTTTCGTCCAGGCGGAGGACTGGGTGCAGAGGCTGGTCAAGCCCAGCGTCGACCACGTCTGCCGTCTCAAGTCCCCCACTGGGAACTACCCCCCCTGCATCGGGGATGACCGGGACCTGCTGGTGCACTGGTGCCACGGCTCCCCGGGCGTGATCTACATGCTGCTGCAGGCGCACCGGGTAAACAGGACGTTTTTATCACACAGAAATTCAACTAAGATCAGCGACATGTATGTCCTTATTCAACACCTGTAGATTAGGGTTCATCTATGGTGTCAAAGAGCCATCTAGTGGTCGAACAGGTTATGTTCTTACCTGTATCATGTGCTGCTGAAAGGTCAAATATGTCATGATTCAGTGAAGTCTAACATTTAGTCTTCTGCATGTAGATTGTGCTGTAATGAACTTCTCCCGCGTTTCTACACCTTTTTTAAATCAAAGTTCCACAAATCCTCGTCTTTCTCCCGCTTGTCTCAGGTGTTCGGAGTTGCTCAGTACCTGTCCGACGCCCTCCAGTGTGGAGAAGTGGTTTGGCACTATGGCTTGCTGAAGAAGGGTTACGGTTTGTGTCACGGAGCGGCGGGAAACGCTTACACCTTCCTGGCCCTCTACCGGCACACGCAGGACCCCAAACACCTCTACAGAGCCTGCGTGGTGAGACAGACTTCAGAATGAATGCTGAATTGTTAAAAACCTGCAGATGTTTATTGATAAGATTTTGATTTTGAGGCCAACAAAGCATCTTCTCTGACTTCAATGTTTCATTTAAAGTCACAGCACTCAAACTACAGCCAGTCAGAGCTCTTGTTTTCCTGCCTGCTGGCCAGTCAAAGGCGGCCTCAGGTGTCTCCAGTGGGGGAGCTCTGTTTGGATTCAGTCCAGGTGGCCCCGGTCCCACATGTCCCTTCATTAAAACGAGTCTATTCATAGAGGAAAACATGGAAACAGACTCCTCGGATGTCTGCTCCGAGCTTTGTGCTTCTAATGTGAGGCCTCGACAGATGCTCGGATTTCACCGAGCCCGGGCACAAATTTTGAGCCGTTGTTGACATTTGCTCGCTGTCCTCCTGAGGCGGCTTAAATCAGGTTGAGTGTTTTGATCAAAGCGGAACGTTGTTGTGACACAGCCAGACTCTGTTTCTCTTTCTTTGTCCCTGCAGTTTGCTGACTGGTGCATGAACTACGGCAGACATGGATGCAGAACCCCAGACACCCCCTACTCTCTTTTTGAAGGTAAAATGTCATGACAAGTACTCTCTTCCCTCTAAAAGACATTTCACAATCTCTCACAGTAGTCATTCTTAATCCTCTGACCAATACAGAGAGAGCTGCAAACATGTTATCCATGAGTATTAAAGTGTTTGAGTGCTGCGCAAACTATTCTGCTGCTTTAAACATGCCGTGGAGACTATGGGGGGTCTCCTGAGGCGAGACAAGGCGCTGTAATGACAATATTTGCCTCTATATGAATGCTACGTGTAGCATTAGCAATTGTATTGATAAAGCACATTTAAATACAGATATGGACATCAGGTCAGGTAGTTTGTTCCAGAGAGCAGGACCACAGTAACTAAAGGCCCCCCTCTCCGGTCTTTGATCTAATTCTGGGCACGGCTGAAAGACCCCTCCACCTGATGAGCCGAGGGGCCGGGTCGGGTTGTAGTCTGAGAGCAGGTCAGAAATGTACTCAGGAGTGTAGTTCACATGTATTTCTCCAGGATGAGCTAGCTGTATCGTGTTGCCACTGTTTCTTTTGTCCACTAACGTAGCTGCACACTCTCTGCTTACAGGCATGGCGGGCACCATCTACTTCCTGGCCGACCTTCTGCAGCCGATGAAAGCACGCTTCCCTTGCTTTGAGGTGTAGAAGCTTAGCCACAGGTAGCCCTTGAACGCACACAGCAAACATATAACAAGACGACAACAGGAAGAATAAGCAACAATCATAGCTTCGGGCATTGTGCCATGTTTTTCCCTGCTATCTGTTCTGCCACTTCACACGATGAATTCCTTCAATCACACGTCGACTAAACACACTTACTATCTCACACGTATTTCAAGGGTGAGAGCCGCTCTAGCTTTTGTGTGTAAATTTCACTATTGCTTTATAAACTCTGGCTTCTGCTTAGTTTGTTTGACTTTTATTTTGCAGGTTTAAGCGAAAAAATAATTATGATTCCATTAATTTCAAAATTTGCAGCTGTGGGGAACCTAAATTGTGATTTTGACTGAGTATTAAAAAAGTGTATCTTGTGTGGGTTTGATTTGTTACAGCAGGACATGAATGCTTTGAGATTTCTATTCTGTTTTCTTATTTAGAGAAAAGAAAAAAAAGTCAACAGCAAAGCTCGAAACTAATGCACTAAATATAATTCCTTACAAGCTCTGTCATGTGTTAAAGGATTAACCCCTGAGTGTAAACTGTGGCCTGTCCTTTGCACTGTCTGAGCAATAAATCGTGAGTCTTTTTACAGCTGCTGCTCTTGTTTTTTTGCATCATTATGCAGCGACACAAACTAGCCACAAGGGGGAGGCAGAGATTTGGTAATTTGTGAGTGGACCCCTGACTTCCACTGGGCAGATTAGGCACATTTGTAGAACGTAGGACTTCGTCAGTGTCACATTTTATGCAAATCAGGGTGAAAACATGTAAAAAAAAAAAAAAAAAATGTGTGTACTCTGATCCTATTTAAGCATTAATATGAAGATTATAACAGAAAAATGCATCCAAAGTACACGTTTCTCATCAAGAAATGTTTATTCTGATGCCTCCATTTGACAGATATTACACCATCAACTAGATGATGACTAGAATCCTCCGTCCAACCCTCCACGGGCCGCTTGGCTCAAGCGCTCACTTCTCGATTCCAAATAAGGCTCACGTAACCCCCCTGAAGAGCAGCGGCGACACAATGCCAACGCTCTTTTTTTAAGCCCACTGGCCATGCTTCTTTATGACCTGACGCCAGCTGAGGTCTTGTTGGGCTCAAGCCAGATAGAGATGGGGGGGGGGGGGTGTTACTGTTACTGTAGCAGATCTTTGAGGAGCAGGGGCGTTCATTTTCTCCACCCTCCCACCCCCTCCTCCCAGCGTAGGAGAAACCCAACTCCGCGGGGCAGGAATGGGGTTTTAAATAGAGATGTGGGGTGTGGTCTCCGGTCTTACAAATGTCCTCCAGCTCTCGCTCCTTTGCTCAGACGCAACAGCTATGAGTTACAAAGCCGACGACGAGTTACGCCGAGCTATTCACGCTATAAGTGAATTATCTAATCCCGACGTGTACACAGCCTCTGTTTGTCAATCTGCATCTCATCGTTCCTCTCAGCTGTGGCATTTCTATCATGAAACACATGTTCACAACAAGTACTTTAAAGGTGCTGAAAAGTTATTTGAACGACTTAAATACTTACATTTCTGACACGCTTGCTGACGCTTGGTCCACTAAAGACAGTGAAAAAGACGACAGGGCAAAAAGGACGGTCAGGGCATGACATGCAGAGACTGAGCACAGAGCCAGTCGTGCTGTTTTGTGTGTGTTAATGTATGCATCCAGACATGAACTTACTGGACGTGCAGGGGCCTCCTTTTGGAGCTGCAGAGATATTTAGAATGCAGACTGCATCTCAAACTCTTTAACATTCAGGGGAAGGGATAGCAAAAAAAAAGATTTCCTTTTTTTTTTTTTTGCATTAATTTAAATTCTGTTACCTTACCAGCTTTAACGAAAAGAAGTCCCACAATAGCAGGCTGACAAAAAAGGTGGGTAGAAAAAAAAGTGCACTAAATGCAGACACAGAACAAAAGATAAATCACATTTCCATTTTGGAAAACAGCAAAGCAAGTTCTTAGTTTTACAATCACCTTTGAATATATTGAGGGGACCTTGACTTTTGGTTGTTTCGTCAAAGCAGCAATAAACACCAACACTTACAAAAAAAAAAAAAAAAAGATTTATTTGGGGAGTGCGGGAAAGGAGCCACAGGTCAGAGTCGAACCTGTGCCGCCTGCTTGGAGGTCTATGACCTCAGTACAAGGGGCGTGCACACTCACCACTAGGCCACCACTCGGCTTTCCGATTTTCAAGAACAAACCAATCACAAATGTCCTCTTGTGAATTTGCTTTAAAGCGACCATCACCTTGAAGTGTAATGCAACCGCTGCATTAATAATCCATGACTTTTCATACTGTTATCAGCACCATGGAGAGCTCTGATGGAGCTGGAAAGGTTAGTGATACCGCTCTGCTCATTTAACCTCCATTGAAGTCTGCAGCATGTCACCTTAGGATAACATTTTACTCAAAATGTAACCACAGTTTAATCGTCTTTAAATTCGTTCATTTGAAGCATTAAACTGCTCAAAGGAAGTTGAAGTGACACCTCTTTAAATCCAGCCGTTAAGCAAACTGGACTTTTCTAGCACCTGCCTGAATCATGGAACCACCTTTCAGGCTGTTTTTTTTTTTTGCTCTGCTGTTATTTAACCATAAGTGGAGGAGCAGTGTTTAAAAATATCCACTTGAAAATGATCTCTCTGGGCATGGAGCCACTCTGAAGAGGGCCACTAGGTAGCCGAGTTTTTTGCATTTTCACTCACAGTTCAAGTCTGTACTTCGTTCCAACAGTGAAACCTCCAATATCAAGTCAGTGAAAGCAGTTTTCTTTTGTGGAGATTGGTTGGGAAAAAAAAGAAACAGAGGTGTCAAAGCTTGAGACATATCACGCAAAGTCTTGACACAGTTATTTCTTTGTCTAAATTTAGCCCCGACCCCTTCTAAAGGCCTACTCCCACAGCTCCGTGGGCTCGCAGCTCTCCTTTCCGTTTGCCCTAAGAAAGTTAAAGATGTTCCAACGTGTCATCTGATCCGCCTCATTAGCATATGTGACATCACATGCCCGGGATGCATAAGAGGGGGTCTCCAACCATGGCTCAGGACCACTCTGTCTCAGGAGTCCAGCTTCTCTTCTTCTTTCTTTCCTCCAACTCCAGCTCTCCAAAATGGTGTGTACAAAGTTGTGCTTTTTCGGACCTTTTGGGTTGGGGGCGGTTACCGATGGAGTTACTTTTTTTTTGGCCTCAAGGGACGATGTTTGTGGCATGAGTTTGGATATATCTCTTAAAACATGGCCCCAATCTTTATTAGCATCACTGAAATCATGCTGAGAAAGACTTTTGGCCCAGGAGTGCTGCCTTGAAATAATATCAGCTTTTCTATTCACTTTGCCGTCTGTGCAGCCTTCCATTCAAACGAAACAATGTTTATAGTTTCCCATTTATTAATATGTATTCATTGCAGCTTAGAGACATGAACAGCTCAAAAGTTCCAGAACATTTTGTTTGTTTTTTTTTTTTTACACAATTTGTCTTCTGCGCTCATAAATCTGTTTTCATCCATTTCTCCATGTTTCTTGTGTTTTTGTACCATTCTGTGCGTCACTATGTGTGTCTTCTTTGTGTATTTTCCATGTGACAGACTGAGTTCACACCGGACCAGATTGAGGGTAAGTGAAGAAACATCAACATTTTTCCTATTTCTTAGCTTAGCATGTGAGAAATCTCATTCTCTCAAAAGTTTGACATTTATCTGCACCTCCCATTCCCCCTTTTTTCAAGCAAGAAATTCTTCTGCAATTTTCGCCAATCCTACCAAGTGCAGAGTTTAACCTTCAGTTCAAATGAACTGCTAAAAGGTGGAAGTAGGGATGAAGATAGCTCCCAACTTAAGATCCCCCCCCCGCCCCCTGAAGGACATGCCATGCCGAGGCCTCGTGCAGCTGTCACAAAGGATTTTAGTAATGTCTATTCTAAGCCGACCTAGCCTTGTCTTGCAAGCCTTGCACAACTGAGGTGTAAATTGCCAGGTCAAGGTTTAAGATACGTCCCCTTCATGGAGGAATCCAAATTTTAATCCTTTTGTACCATCGCCAAGCCTTTCATTGTCTCTGAACAACGTGTCCTCCGTTCAGATATCCCATAATTGGTAGAAGGTATGTGCTTTTCTAATGGGTGTACCATTCTAAAGCTCATTTGGAATAAGTGCAGATAAGGTTTGTCCGGATATTGTCTTTCATTCATGTATTCTTCAATTTGAAACATCAATTCTGAGCTGATCTAGCCTCGTCTTGCAGCCATAAAAAAAAGTCCCCTTTATCCGACTTATCCTATTTCTTTTGGTGTAAAGTGTTTGTTAAAGCATTTCCAATGGGTGTCCCATTTTAAAGCTCATTTGTAATAAGGTTTCTCTAGATATTGTCATTCGTTCTTCAGTTATATGTGAATTATTTTTTTTATCATAGTTACAAATTTCCCAATCTGGCCATTTAGAGTTGCAGATAAAACCATTAAAAGTTCTTCCAATTGTTTTATTTTTGTTAATTGGACTATACATTTGAAACATGGCTACATTCAGCCGTTCCAGCCACGTCTCACAACCAAAAACTTCTAATATTTTTGATGGAGGGCGTTTGTTGCGGCTTTTCCAATGGGTAGATAAGAGTCGCCTGAATAGTTTCTTGTGTTCTTGTGTTATACGTCAATTTTAAAGAGATAGAGTTAAAATTTTCCCAATCTGTTTTTTTTTTTACGAGTGGCAGATAAAAGCTGAAAAAAGCTTTTTTTTTAAATCTGACTATCATCTCAACCAAAAATGGAGAAAGTGCGGCTTCAGCACATTCCTCTAGAGTTACAGGTGTTGAATACATGCTACAGTGCAAGAAAGGGTTTTGATTACATCATGGTCAGCATTCTTATGTTTAAATCGAGCAGGGCCATGGTGCCATGCCTCTATATGGCAGGGGTTACTCTGTCCAGGGTGTATCAGCTTGCTCCCTGAAATTCCTCCCCAATGTGAGTAGAGGCAGGAATGGGGTGGGGGGGGGTTGGGTGGTTACAGCTGCTCCTGCTGTTCGGAAGCAGCACAGGAGCATTAATCCATCAAAAAGGTCACTTTGAGCTGGCCTCCCTGGTAGGATTCACAGACCCTCAGTCAGGCCCAGTCGGTACCTTTTTTTTGTTGCTGCTTGGGTTCAGCTGTCGCCCCCAGTGATCCGGGAACAATGACAGCAGTGTGTGGCTTCTGCAGACTTTGATCCCGCAGCTCATAGCTGACTAAGATCCCTTATTTAGAAAGAATATAAAACAATACTTCTAGCATCCATTCAAACTCAATACCAAATATAACTTTTGATGGCAACATGAGGGATTCTTTTTCATGTCCAATACTTTTAGGAAATCTCTTGCCATTTTATTGAGAACCTCATTAACATGACCTCTAGATTTATAGAGATTGTAGAAGCTATAAAGCCAATAACACTTTATGAAGAGAAGATGTGATCTGATGTTGTTGTTTTTTTGGTTCTTCGATTGATTTGTCTGAACCTGTTAACTCAAAAAGATCTCTCTCTCCTTCCAACCAGACTTCAAGGAGTCTTTCGGTCTCTTTGACAGAGTTGGTGACAACCAGGTGGCCTTCAACCAGGTGGCTGACATCATGCGCGCTCTGGGCCAGAACCCCACCAACAAGGAGGTTGTGAAGATTCTGGGAAACCCATCCGCTGATGGTAGGACCCCAATGCAGACACAAAAGATACAGACAAAGAAAGATGACGCTACACGACTATTATGTGATAGATCGATGCTTAAACAACTAGTAGAACTAGGAATGATTCACGAATTAAGACAACTATCATGCTAATCTAAAATGATTACTGTAGCATGCAAAAAGAACAAAGGAGTCCTGAAGTCAGGGAACTTTCAAGCTAATGCTTGCTAGCAGAATAACTCCATCGCAAAAACCCTGAGTGTAGTTTCATGTAAAAATGGGAAAAACTGTCTTCTATGACCCCTGAAATGACAGAAAACAGTCTACCCTCAAAGCTGAAAGACTTTAATGACAAAAGATAAAGTGCTGTTACAGAGTAGCAAAAGAAAAGATCACAGGCACAGTAGTAAGAGAAAGAGTCAGAAAGTTAGCAAATCATCAAGCTAATGTGTGTTGCTAATCCAAGCTAGGTGAATTTAGCAAGGACTCAGGGTTTATGTGTTCACAAAATCTAGCTTGTCTCCCTTCAAAAATCCATGGCTGTTATAAAAGAGACATGCTAAAAGAGGGTCGCAGAATTCAAGAGACAACTCTGAAGCTAATCTTTGCTGGCAGACTAAGCTAGGTTATATTAGCAAAAAAGTGTACTTTCAGAAATCTGTCTTAAAGACCAAAGAATGTGTATTAACGGTTCCTTTTTTTTCCCCCACAGACATGGCCAACAAGAGGATCAACTTCGACGCTTTCCTGCCCATGCTCAAGGAGGTCGACTCAGCCCCCAAGGGTACCTACGATGACTACGTTGAGGGTCTGCGCGTCTTCGACAAGGAGGGCAACGGCACAGTCATGGGCGCTGAGCTGCGTATCGTGCTGTCCACCCTGGGTGAGTCTCAAGTCACCGTCCCCCAAATATAGACACGCACAAATATAGCTTGCTTAGCGCGCGGAGTAGGGCGAGCAATGTGGGCCAAATCGACTCCTCACACGGACACTTGTGAATCCACAGGAGAGAAGATGACCGAAGCCGAGATTGAGTCCCTCATGAGCGGCCAGGAGGACGAGAACGGCAGTGTGCACTATGAGGGTGAGCCTTTATTTCCCAGCGTGCCTTTCACGATTCTTCTTACTGATAAATCTCGTATTTCGACAAATGTTTTCTTCTTTTCCAGCTTTCGTCAAGCACATCTTGTCTGTGTAAGAGGCCAGCGGCGGGAGTGCTGAAGAAACTGTAGCTCACCTACAGACAGCCCGACGGTGTTCAGAACATCTACACTGTTGTCAAAGACCAACCAAGGAAAGACAAGGACTATGTACAAGGGATGTTGACGCAACCCCATCTTGTTGTTTTATTTTGTTTTCCTTTCCATTTCGTCTCAAACCCCTCCTCTCTCTCGGGACATTCGTCATCACCATTGCTCTCATGTAGCCCCCTATCACTTGGCCTCAACTTCCCCCCCCCCCGGGGCACGTCTCCACTTCCCGCATGGGGTGAGGAACGGGGGAGAAGGGGTGACCGCTCATCAAGTGAGGGTAGATCCCTAACCTTCCCACCGCCACCTCATTCAGTCACGCCATCACTGGGCCCAGCAATGCCAAAGGTGCTGGAGAAGAGTCGTGGATAGACGGCCAAACGTCTCCCTCTTCCCTGAAAAGTTTTATTTATTATCACTCTGTTCATGTCAGAATAAACTTTTCCAACGTACATCCCACCTGGGTTGATTCTTGACCTCTCATTGTTCACACACAGCCGTAGATATTCTTTAATATTGATATATATAAGAGAAAGTGTTGGTACACACAGGGGCGTAGATCCAGGGGGCTGCAGAAGTCAGCGCCCTAGTTTGGCAAAGCCAGGCGAGAAAGTCGAGCTCAGCCACGCATGCACAAGAGATTTGACTCCAAGCAGCTTTTAAATGGAGTCAGATTACATATGTGTGCACATTCTGTGTGTTCACTGTCTATACAGGTCGGTAAAAATACACATAGAGGCATTTTATTCATGTAAGTAGATGAAAAGTAGGCGCATAGCTATCATTAAAAACATACATACAAGGCAAGTGTTTCAGGAGTGACAGATGATGGGTCTCTCTTTACGGGGTAAGTAACACATCACATTGACTTCAGTTACTGCTTTTTGAGTCATTTTTCAATCAATCATTTTACTTTAACTTCGATATATTTTGGAGAAAGAATTGCACTTGGTTGCATTTTTAAATCGCGCCCGCTACTGAGTCAAAGGACCCAAAAGGGACGTTCCAAAACTTTCCGCCGACCGCATGAAATTGCACATCTTTATTGGCTCCTGCGTGCCACGTGATGGTCCGGTCAGGAGCCAGCATGAGAGATCGTGGAGGAGAAGAAGACGCCTTCTAAGACTCAAATCTAAAAGGTAATGTTGAGAATGAACCCAAAAAGAAAGGAAGTGAATGCACTTTATTTTGAAGGTGTGTCCTGGTTTGCGGATTCATCATTCATCCTCGTGTTGTTTTTGCAGTGCAAAGAAGGGAACGATCATAGTTTTTATTTTGCTTGATGCATAAATAATTAAAAAAAAAGAGTTATTTGTTAACTTAATCACTTACAATCAAAACTGTAAGAGGAATCATAGTAATGCAGGATTAGACACACAAAAGAGCTGTTAGGTGCCTTGCTCAAGGGCATCTCTGCTGTACTCTGGAAGTGAACTGGCACGCTATTCAAAGTGACGCTATGAATCCTCCAGTCTGTCCGGTGGTCTCCTGTAGTGACTTCAGGAGGCTTTATCTCCTTCACAAGAAGACTTGCTGGAGCCTTGGAGATATAAGCTTCAACATCAAGAGCCTGCCCCCTTGTGGTGTAACTAGGGAGTGGCCAGATCTTTATATTAGAGCACAGGTTCCCCTCAAGAAGAGCCAAGGTTTGGCCATGAACATTGTGAATTACAAACTTATGTAATGCAGTGAGCAAACAGCTGATTTCAGGAAAAGTCTGACAGTCACCTTCCCTGATGTTATAAATAAGCAAGCTGTTGAGGCTGTGCATCAATAGAGGTACCTGGGAAATGATCAACACATTAATTTAAAATGATTGAACCTTTTTTTTTTTTTTTTACTCTGAATGGGTCCCTCATCATAATGAATCGTAACAGACTGCAGGATGTTTTTATAATGTGTGAAAGAATTGCAGATCTGACCTTGCATGACAAAGAGACCCTGCTGCCATCGCCTTTTCAAAACGACCACATGTGTCGCTTTTTTTTTCATCCTGTTTCTTTCTCTTTTGTTTTTATTTTCCATTGTCTTTTTAGGATGGTTTTTGGTTGTATGGATGTATGTTTGGTACAAAACAAATTGCCCTCTCACTGGGATAATAAAGACAACCATGATAATCTGTTGTTGTTGTTGTTTTTTTTTATTCATGAGATAATTGTTTTAGGAATATGGATTACGTTTTCATGAAAAAATAAAACTTGTTTGTCTGAATTAACGAGACATCAGTCGCTCAAAGTCCCAACTGAAGTTAATTTAGACCACTTTGGTTTACCTGTGAAGTCTCTTTGACTTCACTAAACTCTGGCGACCCCAGACATCCAAAACTCATCATTTGGATGACAGACAGAGACTCTGCAAGTTTCTTGTTTTGGAATTATCTATTGCCCATAGTAGCCTGTGTTCAATATATATTTTAAAATGCTTTTTTTTTTTTAAATTTTATTGACCATAAAATATAAATGTCAGAGAATGCCTGAATAAACTAGCAGACACTCCCCGCTTTGTGTAATGTTGGCTATGGTTTGACACATGGGGAGATACTCGTGTCGTGGCTGCAGCATGTGTTTCCTTTTTGTTTAATTTTATGTAAGCAGGATTTAAATGGTTCTTGCTTTAATTAGTTTCCTGTTTTACTCTTGGTTTTTAAAAGTACATCTATAATCCTGGATCTTCATATATTTTAATGCTGAGAATTAACTTTTTTTTACACCTAAATGATGACTTTGGGAAGCAAAACACTTCTGTACACCTTTTCTCTTGACTAATTTATCTAACACCACACAGGTGCTTCTAATCATTCTGGCTGATTAGACCTGGGTGGGTTGTAAAGAAGGTGAAGCTATGGTGAGAATGTATGATGTCATAAATTTAAAACCCCAGCAAGCTTATTAGCGCGCATATTCCTGAGAAGAGGGCTAATCATAGTCTCAATCACTAACACCTGAGTGGTTGACAAACGCTAATATGGTGCGTTTTAAACCTATTTCTGCATTGGCCATATTTTTGCCACATGGTGTCACTGTTGAGCAAGAAGACAAGTTACTAGGCTTTTGTAGAAGAAGAAACCTTCCTTTTCGAAGACCACAAAAAATATAACTTCTCACTCTACTTCTGTTATCGTGGACGAAACCGTCTCGTAAACTTTGAATAATGTATCAGAAATAGTAAGGTTTTTTTTTGCATTTATTTGAGAATTGTAATTATTTTAGTATTTAAATTGATTGCTTTTAACTCATTAAAAAATCTTATATTTTACTCTACGTTATCTCAGAGGCGGGGGATGAGCTGTCGATTGAGCAGGCTACAAATAGATCCGTGTTGGCTCTACCTCACTTAGACGATCTTTGTTTTGTTTGCTTGAGACGTGAGCAGACGTGACCCCTTGTTAAGTTTTTAGCCATTATTCGTCAGAAAAATGATAAAAACAGGTATTTTAGGGCTGAGAAACGTGTTCGGGCGAGGACAGGTGCTGTCTGCGGCTGCTGCGAGGTAAGAATACAACATAAATAACGAATGTCTAATGTCTTTGTCCGAGTCGTACTTTCAGAAGTTGCAACGAAATAACATTTTGAAGAATAATTCCTCACATTACACACACCTGTCAGACTCTGTTACTCCTATAAATCATCAATAGGCAGGTTAACTCATTTTGAAACTGGAATAGCTTTTTGTTGTCGCCTTCTTGTGTACCGCTAGTCTTCAGGCGACCTTTGATACACTTCCTTTCCCACCTTGAACCACCTGTTTACCTAGACTGAGTTAAAATCATATTAAATAAAAAGAGTAAAAACAATTAACGACACACGTGTTAACACAAGAAAGTGAATTATGCTCTTTTTTTTTTTTTTTTTAAAGCAGTATTTTTTTGGTTTATATTACTGCTAAACTAGTATTAAAACATGTACTTTAATCCTTTTTTATTTTATTTTATTTGATTAATTAAGAGCAGAAATATTCGTTTTTTCATTAGTTTGATTTTTCGTTCACCAGGTGCATTTAAAAAAAAAAACTAAAATTATAATTCATACATTTTCGGCATGTAAAATGAACACAATAGTGTTTAATTTATCTCTTGGTTATATATTATCCCTGCACAGCCGTGTTTTATGCAGTGTTGACTTAAATGTAATATTACTCCCTATTATCCCGCCTTTTTAAACTTGAACTCCAAAGTAAAGCCGCCTCTTTCTGGCTTCTAAAAGTAACTCTGTTAGTTGATTTCTTTTTTTCCTCCCAGGCTACAGCACAGTCAGGCCCAGCCCGAAGGACAGCATGTCCCCCCGGCACGTCCAGAGACCTCCAGCGCCAAGTCCCTGATGGACATCGGGACCCGCCGGATCTTCAACGAGGACCACGACCTCTTCAGGGAAAGTGTCCGCCGCTTCTTTCTAGAGGAGGTGATTCCAAATCACAAGGAGTAAGTGACCACATGGAATTGGATTGAGAGATGTGAAATGACCTCGATTGGCGCCAGCAACGAGGAAACACGGTTTGCTACATGCCTTGCTTCCCCTCTCTCCAGGTGGGAGAAGGCGGGTCAGGTGAGCAGGGAGGTGTGGGAGAAAGCTGGCGAGCAAGGCCTGCTGGGAGTGATGATTCCAGAGCAGCACGGCGGCATCGGAGGAGACCTGTTCTCAGCCGCCGTCACCTGGGAGGAGCAGTGAGTGTTTGAGTTGTAATTTACAATCAGAGGATTAAATTGAACTTTTTTTTTTTATTATTTTAACGGGTTTTTGTTCTTCTCCCAGAATGTATTCCAACTGCTCGGGCCCGGGCTTCTCTTTGCACTCCGAGATCGTCATGCCTTACATCGTCAACTACGGCAGCAAGGAGCAGATCGACCGCTTCATTCCGGACATGATGGCGGGGAAATGCATCGGCGCTATTGCGATGACGGAGCCAGGAGCGGGAAGGTCAGGACTCTTAACTTTACATCAGATAAATCAGAAAGCCATCGTGTAGCGCTGATGATTCTTTACCTTTTACGTTATCAGTGATCTTCAAGGTGTGAGGACAAACGCCAAGAAGGATGGCAACGACTGGATCCTCAACGGCAACAAGGTGCTGAGTCCAAACAGCACTTTAAAAAAAAAAAAAGTTGTTTTATAGCATTTAACCTTCAACCTGACCTCCTCTCTGTCGTATCTGTTCCAGGTGTTCATCACAAACGGCTGGATGGCCGACCTCGTCGTCGTGGTAGCGGTGACCAACCGCGAGGCGAAGACGGCGGCGCATGGAATCAGTCTGTTCCTGGTGGAGGACGGCATGAAGGGCTTCCATAAAGGACGCAAGCTGGAGAAGATCGGTCTGAAGGCGCAGGTACGAGAGCCGGACGTCTGAGAGGCCGGGCAGAAAGTTGATGACAGGAGACTTTAGTTTTTTTTTTTTTACATATTTTTGGAGATTTACACATCATGGTTTAATCATCAGCACTTTGAGAGGACGCAGCATTGAAAGAGTCTCAGAATACAAACATCTTTCTATCTGCTAGGCTCAGTGTACATTTAAACTCAAAATCGAAACCCTGGCTCGCAAATCAGGTCAATAAAGTTCACACGCTTGTTCCTGTGGGGTCGTCTTAAGACAAGGATTTGTGTTTAATTTGTGTTTTTGACATTCTTTGAATCTATTCTGTTTGTGCATATTTATTCTGTTCAGTTATACTCAGACTCAATGACTTTAGAGATTTAAATAAATCACTGTTGTTTTCTTCTCTTAAGGACACGGCTGAACTGTTTTTCGAGGACGTGCGGCTTCCAGCTAGCGCTCTCTTGGGAGGACTCAACAAGGGTTTCTACTACCTGATGAATGAACTGCCTCAGGTTTGATTTTCCCATTCATCAAAACATTTTTTAAATCCAGCATGTGGCGCTCTAAGCGACCCCCGATATGGCCTATGCAAGGCCCTGCGATGGCAACGGGTGGCGCAGTGGTTAGTGCCCGTTACCTCACAGCAAGACGCGGATGGCTCATGACCATCCCAGAGAGGCCTAGTTAATGGAACTGTATGAAACAAATGTTTTAAACAGAGTGGAAAACATTTATCCATTACAGTGATTCCTCCTCATGAGACATCGTGTCCTTAATCGTGTCTATGAATGAATGTTCAGGTTCTCTTCATTTTAAAAAGTGGTGTTTTTCTCTCTCCACAGGAGCGTCTGTTGATCGCTGACATGGCCATCGCGAGCGCTGAGTTCATGTTTGAGGAAACCAGGAACTACGTGATGCAGAGGAAGGCTTTCGGCAAGACCATCGCTCACCTCCAGGTCCAGGATTTGATCTCTTCACCCGTCTACCCATCGTCACAGTTTCACTTTCAAGCGCTCCCTTTAGTTACTCTTCCACTCGGTGAAGGAGGTCTAGTGTGTGTCTTTGCATGAACTGGCTTTACATTCACACTGTTTCTCCACGAGGATAAATATCTCATTCCATCCGCAGACTGTGCAGCACAAGCTGGCCGAGCTGAAAACGGAGATCTGCGTGGGCCGATCCTTCATCGATAACTGCCTGCAGCTCCACGCCGAGAAACGCCTGGACCCCTCCACGGCCTCCATGGGCAAGTACTGGTGAGGACTGCGTTTACCCGCCTCTGCTCTTAAAAACCCCCAACGCCATGTTGCCGCTCCATGTTAATGTCCGTCGTCTTTCCTTCAGGGCGTCTGACCTCCAGAACAAAGTGGCCACTCAGTGCCTGCAGCTCCATGGAGGGTGGGGCTACATGTGGGAATACCCCATCGCCAAGTAAGTGGAAGAAAAGCTTCTTATTTTAGGATGATTTTATTATAATCAACAAGCTTCAACTGTTTTTTTGTTTTTTTTCTCTCTTCAGGGCCTTTGTTGACTCCGTATTCAGCCCATCTACGGAGGCACCAACGAGATCATGAAAGAGCTCATCGCGCGCAGCATCGTCAGCCAGAAGTGAGAATTTAGGACGTTTTCGCGGTGAGGAGCATTGGGTGAAGAGGGCTGGTTTGCACAGATGATCGTTTTTTTTTTTTAATGTAGACAGTTGTCAGAAATGGATCAAAGTACGTTTATGCATTGTGAAATAACATTTTTAAGAAAGCTTGAGGTTATCAAATCAGTAAAACGATTAAAACCCGACGATGAAACCTCTGCCTTCAGAACAACTTGCAATTGCCAATGCTAACCTAATGTTAGCGACCTGTGTAAATAATGTCACTGAATCTGACTCCTTTTCTACTAGTTTGACTGTTCGACGACATTTGAGCCATTTAGTGGTTTCCTCCGTTTGTCCAGAAGGGCTTAAAAAGTCAAACAATGTATCCTCACTTCAGTGTCTTCTTCGGAGGTCGCTCGAGATGGTTCGGCCGCTTCTTTGATTCAGACCTTTGAATAATTACTTATTATTGTAGGTCTGCTTCTGTCCTTTTCCAGCTCACTGTAGTGCTAGTTGTGTGTAAATATTGCTGTGACAAAGTTAAAGATACTCTGTAAATGAATGTATAAATAATGGCTTCTGTGTACAATATGTACTCAACAGGATGTGTACTTCTTTCAGCACTTAAAATGTTTGATCCAATAAATCCAGAGCATTAACTTTAATCCGTGTGTCTTTAAGTTATGACATAAACTGTTTTGTCAGTGATTTGAAGGATTGAACATCAGATTAAAGCTTTTAAAGGCTGAGGTTTTGTTGTTCAACGTGCTCTTTTGTGCTCCACACTTATGAAAGAAAACCACAATGAGATTGTTTCTCTGTCCACCCGTCTGTTTGCATGTGAGAACAGGCATGAGAGCGGATGTTTGGAGTATGCAAGGCAAGGCAAGCCAAGGCAAGTTTATTCATGTAGCCCCCGCACAGCAACAAGGTAACGCCAAGTGCTTTACACAAGACGTCAAGCGCATCCTGATAAAAGTAAAAGAAAGCCATCATGATGGGGCATTACAGATTCTTTAAACAAGTCATTAAGATTAGAGATTAAAGACAAAACCTCTCAAGGAAAAGACAGCCAAGAAACTGTAAGTTACAGTGTGGTGTCAGGAGTTATTCTGCTAGGATGTGAGCTGAGCTGAGCCATGATATGGAAAGGATTAGGACAGATTAGGAGTGTTTTTTTTTTTGAAGAATAAATATCATGTTAATTGAACTATAAAATAACCGTCTTCTCCTGTGCAGTGTCTCATTTCCACCACTAGGTGGCAGTAATTGCATGTACAAAGATGGCAGAGAAATGACAAACGACCACGCAGCACACATGTGGCATCAAAAGCAGACTGTTGAATGTGACAGAATGATTGAACACACCTTCACCTGATCGTTTGCAAGCTAGCCATGATGATTATCCATCTTCAAAATAATTAACCCTGTTGTTTCTTTGTGTGTTTTTTTTTTCTTTTTCTTTTTTTTACATAGGCATCAATATAAAGCGCAAAATACACCACTTTAATGAATCGCATTGCCATGTATTTGCGTCCTTGTTGATCAGGTGCATGAGCCTGTTAACACACTGAGAAAGCGGACACCTGAGGGAGGACAGGAGTGCAGCTATTGCTCACTGATGCAACTTCTCCCCTTCCCTCTCTCCCTCCCTACTCTGCCCCTTTTGGCATCACATCCACAATGATCCCCTTCCCCTCTTCCCCCCCACCCTCCCCTTACTTTCCCATCTTTCCTTAGCAACAGCCACACCCCTGTGTCTCTTCAGCTCTGCACTCTCTTCCACTGCAGTCAGACGAAATACTACTACAGCAACCGCTTTATGTAGCAGAGAGCCTTTAACACTGTCCTGACATTTCATGTAGCAACTGATTGCTTCATATCACTGCACATGTGTGTGCTTTTGCATGCATTTGATTGATAGTTGTCCTATTGCTGCAAGAAAGGATTTCCTGGCATGCATGTTCCAGCTACAAAGTCCCTTTGCGCCGCTATTACCGTACTTACGGTAGCTTAATTTGCGATGGGAGGGATCAGAGGGCCCCCATACCTCTCTCATTGTCACTCCGGCTCCCTTCACACACAAGGGTATTAGTGCCGCTCAGCAGCCTAAAGCTCCAGGTAAGAGCACAAGCGCTTTGTTTATCATTTTACTGGGTAATGAAGCGCTATGTTATCTAAAACCTGCATGAATGTAGAGTTTAGGGCATTTGAATGCATCACCGGCAGCTGTAAAGTTTCTAGAAAACAAGTCAAAGTGTTGATAAACGCAGGAATTGCTGTTGTGCGTGAGCGCGTCACGGTGTGATGTGCAGCTATGTGTGATTTTTTTTATTTTTGGGGGGGGGATGTGGAACGAGTTACATGGTTCAGAAACCAAGGCAGAGAGTTTTGCAGTTTAGCCTCGTTTTTTAAGTGAAGATGTTGTATTCATAATCCCGGTTCGACGCAGGTGTGGAGAATAATGCCTTGGAACGGTGTTTGATTTTGCGCTGTCCTGTCGCGACGCTGTCGTGCTGCTGCAGAAACCTGCGCCTTTTGTTCTGGTCCACGCCTGTATGGTGCTGAAACCGGCGCAGCTCCCGGCTTTACGCTGCAGCACGAAGATGTACAGAAAGGCAGTGATTTAAACAACGCAGAGAGGGGGGGAGATTTTTAACGTCATCTCTGTGCTGAAAGGATGTTTTAGCTCTTTTCTTTGGATATGGGAGTAGCCCTGCTTGGGGCTGGCATCTTTTCTGATGCTCTTGCTCATAAGCAGTCTGCATCAGCAAATGAAGCATGACTTGCCTTCGCTGTACATGGTCACTAAAATATTGAACTTTTTGTTTTAATTCATGTTTTCAATTGAGCTGCTCTCCATATTTCTTTGTTATAACCAAATCCTTTAATAAAACTCCAGCCCTGATACATAGTAATGTCCCATTTTTCTACATGTTCAGTCATGAAATCAAATGCAAATGTCCAGACATTCATTAAACATGGATCTCTTTTCCAAACAAGCCCCCCTTTCAGTGTCCCCTCCGCCTCAAAACATGCCAAGGGGAGGACCGGATCTGTAGATTTCCCATGTCTGGATGTGAAAACATTCCTTTATGAAAAAGGAATTAACGCTCGCATGAAACTGTACTCCATTTTTTTTTTTTCTTTGCATTGGCACATTCCACTTGCTGTCTGATAGCACCCTGTTTGTTTGTATATTATATACAATATAAAAACACTTTAATGTGGGCAGATCATGATGGATTTTGAGTCAGTAAAAGTCAACATGTAGGATTCTCAGACCAAACTAGACCAAAGCGTTGCACTCTGTTTGCAGCTGTGTTCAGTCAGCTCTCTTCATGGTTTGAGACTTTGTAACTCGAGACATTATGAGGCCATGCTTAACATCCATTTGCTTGTTATTGACTTTCAATTGGTCACAAAGTGCAAGAATTTGCTTCACAGGTTACAACTGAAGAGTACACATGCAGGGTTCAGCTGCTTATGCATAGTTGTGACTTTTATATGTGATTGATTTTAGGAAGGTGTAAGAGGTACTTGTCTTCAATCATCCTCTCTCTTAATGGCAGAACAAAAGCTGAAACATGACCACACACACATGGTGTCAACTGGAAACTCCTCTGCCCATTTCAAAGCAGATTATGTGTTTTTTGGCCGGAGCCAAATGGAGGTTGACAAAGTGCATTACGCTGGAGGTGTGTGTCAGGTTTCACCTACTTCTCTGGTAATAAGAAGCCTCCATCAGGCCAGATTGGGCTGAGTGTAATCGCTGGTGGACGGAGTAATTGAAATGACCTTAATCACGGCACAACAGGTTGGGTTTGTGTCTTCGTGTTTAATCTATGAAAACACGACTTATTGAAATCCAAAATGTGATTTGAGTTTGTTTACGAGCCATACGTTCAGCAACTTCTTGGTTTTTTCCGACCACAAGGAAACCCAATCGGCCCCCTTGCACCACGCGGGGAACGCTAAGTACATTTCCCAACGTCCATTCTGGTTAGGTGAGCAGTCAAAGTCACAAAACCACAGCACCACTGTGCGCTCCACTGAAATGAAAACACGCCATCTTGGCCTGTGTTTCCTCTTGAGAAGGGAACAATGTTTAGAGAAAAGCTCCGTTTTTGGATTTGTTTGTGGATGGATCTGAAACTGTTTGACTCTTTGCTTGTTTGTGAAGGAGAATGTTTAGGTAAATGGGTTTTGGAGGCATTTAAGTGGTGAATCTGGATTTGTTTTTGTTTGTTTGCATGCATTCTAGGTGAGTGCAGGAGAAGAAGTTTAAAACGCTGCAGGTGTTCAAGGTCAAAGGGTGTCCCTTTGTCCCCTGCTGCGCCCCCCCCTTTTTGTGCCACAGGTGTCTAATGGGAGCTGGCAGAACTGTGCTTTAGTACACGATTAAGTCCTGACTGTGAGAGGAATTTTAATCTAATTCATGTACGTCACAGAAAGCTCACAGGCCACTGACCTGCACGTGGAGCACACAGACACACACCCTGCTTCTCGGCATACTTTAGGGCTAACTTAGCACCCGTTATCGGAACATCGCGACTCTTTCAAAGATTACAGTCCAATTTTTAGACAGGTTTGTTCCCTCGCATCCTTCCTATGCAATTTCTTTTAGATTGTGTTGATTGTTTAGTACTGTTAGATGTGCTTCCATTGCATTGTCTTATTGTGAAGTTTTCCTTTGCAGTAAATGAATGCAACCTAACGACACAATAAGTGGCACTAAGTTTCAGTACTTCTAAGATTCAAACTGGACTTTTGGATAGAAACAAGCATTTTCGTCATCAAATTTAACTTAGCCATGCCCCATTTCGGGATGGAAACTATCTGGCTCAATGCTTCTTGGAAAAAAAAAAGCCTGGCTCTTGGAGGGATATTGGCGCTTTTGAAGAACAGTAAACAAAGTTAAAAGACGTCTGGCCAACGAGAAACATGGTTGGTAGCAGCTTGGGTGAAAAGAGTAATACAAAAAGCCTTCAAGTTTTGTCCATTGCACCACTTTGAAGCAGCATTTCCAATCTGCAGCCCAGATGTGGTTTAAACAGCTGTTAAAATGTAGACCTGTGTTTTCTAACTTGAGCATGAGACATGAAGCACACAAACCACACTGAAGATGTTTGGAGTTCCTGGACCTTTCTTTTGGAGGACACAGGTGTCGAGTTTATTGGGTCTTGATTAATCTGCCGCTCCGATCCCTCATTGTGACCTCCATGGAACAGGACACTCTTTCTCGCCATTCATCCGCCCCTTCTCACCCATGAATCAGAGCTCCATCTACGGCTGAGTAGCAGCCAGTGTCCTAAACGAGCCCTGACAGCCAGTGTCTCATTTCATTCCTCACGGAAGATGCCCCTCGACAGAGAGGACACTCATGCGGGGCATTCTTGCTCTCCCTCAGATATTGGCATCAATAATATTCTCTCCTGCCTCAAACCTTTTCCCCATTCTCCAGAAAGCTTCCTTCATAAGACAAGTTTTTGTGGACAAGAGCCAGAACGCATTCCAAGACGAAAAACAAAAAAGTGCTGTATTCACACACAGTTTAAACAGGAAGTGTATGCGTCTCTATCTATCTTACAGTTGCGACACAAAGTCCAGTGCAAAAATTGCAGTTTGCGGTTTCACACCCCTAATTGGCATACGAGAATGCAGGCATCTGGGCTGTTGACATGTTCTGGATAATGTTATGTTGGTGACTGCTGCTATATGTAGCCAGCTGGGCCCTGCATCTGTTTTAATGTTTGCTAAGCAAAAACACTTGGCTGGGTTTTATTGGCTTTGCAGTGAAGGGGTTGATTTTAATTCAGCGAGTTTTTTTTATTGAAGTTCATGAAACAGTTTAGGTCTTTCTGGGGGTTTTTGAAAGTTTAAGAAAGTCTAGAGACTTAATGCGGGTAATATGTTGCGTTAATTCCATTTCCATTCATTGCTTTTTTTTCTTCCATTTGTCTGGTTAGTGTGGTGCACACCATTTAACATTCAAAGGTGTGAAGAAATCGACGCATCAAACTCTAAACGTGTTTTTTTTTTTTTGGAGGTTGTTGTTTCTACAAAACCTGGTGATTCAGTTTTGAGAGACCTAAAGACTCAAACCGCATGAAGCTTGAAAAGCCATTTATTCACTTGTCCATCAAAGACAACTATTTAAAGATTTAATAGTAGCTTGATGTGCTTGGAGCAGCTTTTTGATGGATCCTGGCCTGGTTTGTCGGACCCTGATATGGGCCAACGGTGGGAAGAAACCGCTAACGAGCCATAGCTTCTTCCTGAATGGGCCAGGGACCTCCTTGTTAGCCTAGCGTAGCGGCTAAGCCATGTAGCGCTCACCCTATATGGTTTCCAGATGTTGAAGCCAAACAGCTCGATTGTTTTCTCCCCATCCTTTTTTGCAAACAGCCGACTGGCAGCTAATACATCTGGGTGAAGTAGACTGGAGGATTCAATGAGCCCCATTGTTGGAAGTCCATACATTGTTTGTACGTATGGACTCTATATCAAGTTACTGCATGGTTGAGAACAATTGCTCTCAGTTGCATCTCAATGTGAGTGTGTTTTCCAGTTGATCCATTAGGGGGAAAAAAAAATCTGCAATGGGGAAAAAAAAAAAGCCTTCAAGGATTCAGGATGAATTGCCTCTTGGGGTCTTCCTAAACGAAACCAGAAACTGGTTTTGCTGCGTGTTTTCTTTCTGTAAAGAATTCTGCTGCTTGTCCATCTCTGTTTCTTTGCGCATCTGCTTCTCTGGCTGAATGGAAACCCCCAGATTCATAGGAAGTCCACACACAGCAGCTCTGTAAAGCCAGTGTGAAACATAGAAACAGATGGACAGCATGAATGCATTGATGGTACATCACGTTCCTGTAAGTCCTGTCTTTAACTGGACAGCAGGAACACAGCAGCTGAGTGTGTGTGGACGACCTCCTGGCCTGCTTCCAGAAAAGGGTTTTTACTGTGACCGCCACAGAATTCATCCGGAGAGGGACTTACTAGTGAATCTAACATCCTTACTTTGACACGAAAGGAAGAAAAATGAGACGGGATGGATGCGGTTATCTCTGGCATATCCACCAATAGTCAGTGTGCTGCTTACTTTTTCTCAGTATTATGAG